TTATTATTATTATTATTATTATTATTATTATTATTATTATTATAAAGGTTGTGTTATAGATGTATATGCATACAAGTATAAAACCAAAAAAAATTAAATTAAAAAAAATTCAAGACAGACTCAAACTCTCAACTATTGGCTTGGGCTATAAACCATTAGTAGTCTTATCTATCTTTAATTTGTTTGTTATAAATAAAATACTTGTGTGGAATGGCATTTTTTGCTTTGACATTGCTATTCATTAGATGTGCACTCGTGTTTAATATATATTTAATAACACAGTATAAAAAAAACCAAAATCGAACACATACTCAAAACCTATATATGCGTTTTAAAAATCAACCACTTTGTTTTAAAATATTTTAGAAAAACTTTAAGGTTCCATTCAGTTTTTGTTTTAAATCCGATGATTATTGAGCAGTTTGTTGGCGAAAGATTGCATTAAGAGTGTGTTTGACAAAACTAGTTGGTAGCGGATAGCGATTAGCGAGTAGCTGATAGCGGGTAGTTTTTGATCTAACAAACAAGTAATGGATTTTGTAAATCAAGTAACTTGAATGATCTCCCTAATTTAGATGGCCAATATGAATCAAAATTAAAATCCAACTTTTAATTAATATGAAACCAAATTCACCACATAGACTACAAATTCAACTACATAAAAAGAAAATTGAAACGACGAAATCGGATCTATTAACTAAAATACAATAAATAAATATATTAACTAGTTGATGATTGAATTAGCATCAAAAAACTGATTTAGACTTGTGATCATGGATTGTTATGTGTGATGCTTTTTTTACAATTCCTAGTTTGGCCGCGGTTGTCAACAAACTTCGACAACCTGTTTCGCCAAACGCTCAATTAAAACAACCTCTTTAACCAAGTTGCAAACTTATCTGACTAAAACAAGTGCTTCAGTTAGAAGTGACTCATACAAAATTATCAAACGAACAATTTATAATTAGGTGAAAGTCATATTAAAGCACAAAAGAAACAACAAACACAATGACGTAAGCTCGCGAAATTTACATTGTACCAACATGATTTCATAATAAAAGTTAAAACTCTAACTGGGTTGCTAAAGCCCAACTAAAATTGTAACAAAGAAAGTAATAAAAATCATAAATCATACGGATAAGAGTGTATTAAATACAAATAACAATCTCACACAATGATCTAAATAGTTAAACTAATTCACACATCAAACCCCGGAAACTATGTAATCACCAAAAATAATGAACTTCCACACCAAAATAAAATTGTTTGATGCCAAGAACCAAAAAGAAGCTTCCGGTCGTCGATCCTCCTTGCTGCTATCGTGTGTCAAGATTAACCCCTAAAAAATACGTGAGTCATCCTCTTTATTTCTAAAAGGTCAGAAGTCCCCCATTACCAATTTGGGCTTCAATACCATGTAAATCAAAATTATGGTGTAAATCAAAATTATGGACTTAAGGGGTTGCCATATTGCTTTGTAGGTTTAAACGGTTCTTTTGGGCTGGTTTTAACGGCTAAATTGGCCTGCCAAAACAGATTTTGGGCTTAACTTAATCCACAGTAGGCTGCCAATTTATGATTTTGGGCAGAATTATTGCGGACGTTCCCCAAAGGTGCAACACACGTGGTCCAAATCCGATCTCCACTGTTCATATTAAAGAACTACGAGTTAGCGAGACATCTGTAAAACTTAAGCTCGATCGAACCACGTTTACTACTCGATTCGATCTCTTTACGAAGACAACACATTGCTGCCAAATTTCCAAAAAATATTTAAATCGTTTCGTTTTATTGATTTTTTGTGGATGTTATTACGAGACTTCAAAAGTGCTTGCAAGATCTTCCATGTAACCTCTATTCGTCCTCGAAGATGTCATTGTCCACTTATATAAGTCTACACAAACTAAGCTTAAACGAGTAAAATTGCTCCAAACAAACAATGTAATAAAACGTATGAAATGCATGCTAAATATACACATGTCATGAAAATAATTCAAAAAATATACTAAAATGATACATGAAATCAACCTAACAAATCTCCCCAAACTTAAACTTTTCTTGTCCTAAAAAAAATAACAAGTCGAGAATGAACCGTAAAGAATAAATAAACAAATGAAACTAATAATTAAATGTTTCAAAACTATGTATGGAAAACAAAACATGATCCAAATCCACAACCTTATCCATATCAAACAGTTAAGAATATGCAAATACACCACATGCATTGAACCAACTTAGCCTTGCTACAAATATATACATTACAAAAAATTAAGACTTAATTATTCATTATCACAACCCAACAAAATCAAAAGTTAACGACACTTCGAGGTCACCGATATTAAATTAGCAATTTGAACAGCATATGGTCTTACTTTCGTGAAAACATATATGATGAAAATATGCCCAATCATCTTCATTTTACAAATCATAACAATGAACGAGTCTAGCTATTTGTTGATCAACAGCAATCTTTTTCTAAAAACTCTTTTCTAAAAAGCTTTTATGATTTACCCAGATTGGTTACTTGTTTCACACCACTTACACCAGCTCAAGTCAATAACAATCAGTCTCAATGTCATAAGTTCAAGTTTAAGTCCAAGGGTGTAACACCTGATTCAAGGTACTTTTCATTTTTGATCCTTGGTGTGTAAATAGTTTGCAATTGGTCTCTAGGGGGCATTATTGCCATTTTAGGAAAAGTGAGAGTACACTGGGCGTCTCGTATGTTGCACCCAGTTGGACAAACCCTACATTTTAGGGTTTAGACCCTATTTAAGCAACATTATGACCCATGATCCCCTCATTTCTCATCCTCCATTACCCTTTGAGCCTCATTTTGGAACCCTAACCCCTTTAGAGAATATTTAACCCTCTTTGTGTGTGTTTAAGTGTGTGTTAGTGAGCTTTGAGGAAGAAGGGTTTCGAAGAAGGAGCTTTGACCAAGGGAGATCTTGTAGATCCATATTCTACTAATCATTTCCAGCTTCAATGAGGTATAAAGCTTGGACCTTGTTCATTGTATGCTTAGATCTAGTCTTTATGTGTTTTGGTCACTTTTGGTCCCCATGAATGAGATCTAGTGTGAATGATTCAACTCCAGAAGTTAGGAATTGCTTCTCTTAATGTTTTTGAGGTTCCTAATACATAATGTTGGCATGTTTATGGTTGAGGATCAACCATGCAAGTGTTTATGTCCATTTAGAGTCATATATATATATATATATATATATATATATATATATATATATAGGTGTGTATCTATATTTTTTTATAAAATTATGTTTGTATACATTTCTTTTATAAAAACATGTTTGAATAATTTTTTATATAATACGTTTTTGTATACATTTTATATATAAACGTGTTTGAATACAAATGAATTTATTATAAAATAGTTGCTTATATATATATATATATATATATATATATATATATATGTGTGTGTGTGTGTGTGTGTGTTTGTGTGTGTGTATGTGTATGTATTTACAAAAGAAATGTATATGTTTACTATGAGATAGATGTTTGTATACATTTTTTTGTAAAATACATGTATGTATACATTTTTTTATGAAAACTAAGTTGTATATATTTATGTATTTAATAAATACCTATTTTTATAAATAAGTATTTCGTATACAAAAAAGTTTTTTTTAAAAACAAGTTTTTATATAGAAAATATAAGATTTTTTATATGAAAATATGTTTTTTTCTATACATATGATTTTATAAAGAAAAAACATATTTGAAACAAAATTTTGAGAAAAAAAGTTGTAAAAAAAAACTAAAATTATGATGAATTTATAACAAAATTCTAAAATTGGACCAAAATGGTTGATTTTGGACCAAATTTGTAATAAAGTTTAAATATGAGCCAAAAGTGTATATTTTGGACTAATTTTGTAATAAATTTTGTAATCTAAGCCAAAAATTACATTTTTGAATGTTGGATGACATGTTGACCGGATAAAAGAGTTAAATTGAATACGATTATCGGTTTTTAAGACTTAATTGAATATATATATATATATATATATATATATATATATATATATATATATATATATATATATATATATATAATGACTAAATTGATTATGAGATCATTATATAAGCATTTTATTGAAATTTTCCCATTTACTTATGTATATTATTAGTGTTTACTTAGGTTGAATAGCTTGATTTATGTTACATTTGAAGAGTTTTGAACTTGGTAATTGTATCTATATTATTGTGGTGCGTTTGGTATAGAGAAATTGAATTGCTGCGGAGAATGGAAATACACAGAAAGAGAATTAAGCCAGAGAAAGAGAATTGACTCTCCTGTTTGGTAGATCTGAGAATCTACTAGAGAAATATTTTTGAGAATCATTTCTCATGTTTGGTTGTATTAATCAATGAAATGGAAATGAGTTTTTTTATCTTGTTTATTCATTTTCAAACAACATTTTTTTATAAAAATGCATTATTAATCAAAATATGTATCTTTTATGTTTTTAATTTTTTTATTATAATATTAATTGTTACTAAATAATTTATTTTCTAATCAATTAATATTATTTTTTATACATATTCTGTTGGAAAACATATTTCTAATATAAAAGAATAACTTACAAATAGATTTAAAAAAAATATGCAAATCATACTATTCAAAAACTATGTCCAATGTAAGATATATGCAAAAACTATAACTCAATATTCCTAACAACTAAAAAACATAACTATATCTAATACAGAATGTGCAAAGAGTCGACTTCAATATTCGAAAAAAACTAAAAAAAAAAACATTAATTAAAATAACATAATCATGATATTGAGCCATCCCCAATAATTTCCATGTAACAAATCTTTTCTTCTTCTGTCATCTTAAAAAACGTCCGAGCACGAAATTGATCTTTGCTAAACATGTCAATCGCCTTAATTCGTTGTTTGACATTGATATTTGGCATGTGTTGTATATATTCGATAACTTTATCTATCTTATCACGTGCTTCCTTATTTTCTTACCTTCCTATATTGAATATTGTTTGATTAAGTTTTTCACCAACCTCCTTGAAAGTCTCTTTTATTTCTTTCACTGCTTCCTTATAAGAGCTTTCTGTGTCATCCGTTGGAGGCCTTTTGCGTTTACTATTGACACGAGCAATTTGTTGTGTCTCTTCAACAATCTCTTCCAACCCTTCCACATCAACATGTGAGTTTCTTTGTGTCTCTTCAGTCACATCTTCACCAAGATTAGTAGCTCCATGATCAGTAGCTCTATCCTTCCCAAATATTTTACATAAGTTATCAAATTGAGGAAATGGTTTATCGCGAAAACATGCAGCACCTTTATGACTACATGAATGGCACAAAATTAATTGGTTACTATTCATTCACAATATATTTTAATGGTGCTAAAAATACTACAAACTTCATCATTGTAGTACCTTTATGTATTCAGCCCAAACTTCAGCATCGGCAGTAACACAACATTTATCCGTATCCCAGCCGAATCCAGTGTTGTGTTTGTTCTATATACCATGTCATGCACGATGTTGAAATGGTTTTTCCATGTCTTCATCCTCGATTTAATATGAGACTCTGCTTTCAAACCCGAGTTAGGAAGGCTTACATCTAGTAATTGTTGCACTGCCTTCAAATACTCGGGTTTGAATCCGTTGTCGGCACCACCATACTTTCCGGATACATGTAACTCCAACAATGACTCAATTAACTTTGCATCCTCTTCAGTAGTCTATGTGTGTTTGTTTCGCCCTGCCATGTCTACAAAAAAATTTACATAATAAATGCTTGAAATATCATACAACAATCTTAACAGCTCTTGTTTGTGGCTGTATAACTCAACCAAAACTTAACCAATTAAGCCGTTTTTCGATTCTAAAACATAGACAAGACAGAGAAGTACAGTTTGAAAAAAAAATCACATCATTCCAAGCTTTTATAAAGCTTTTATGATGGTTCAAAGTTGGACAAAATTTATAAAAAGTGCTGAAATATTATGCAGCAATCATAACAGCTCCTGTTTGTGGCTGTATAAGTCAATCAAAACTTAACCAATTAAGTTGTTTTCCAATTCTAAAACATAGACAATACATAATAGTAAAGCTTGAAAAAAAAATCGCATCATTCCGAGCTTGTATAAAGCTTTTATGATTGTTCAAATTGGAGAAAAAAACCTTAAATTTAAAAAAAATAAAAAATAAAAAAAATAAATAAATAAAATTGCTTTTGTTCTTTCAACTCAAGCATAAGCAATGAATAAATAGCAATTGATCATCATTGAACACTTATCTACATGATTCAACCACCAAGATCGATTTCAACATAGGAAGATTCAAACATGCAAAAATAAGTAATTCATAGCAAAATTAACATATTTTTGAATTGGAAATCAAAAACAAAATGCATAGCAAATTAGCACATAATCGACCAGCAAAGAGAATCAGAAAGAAACATGAAGTCATACCTTCAACTGGAAGATGATCGATGATGCCAAAATCGACCAATGCTGCTACAAAGAAAACTGAAATCGTGAATCCCAAGTTTCGAACAACACAGAGGAGTAAGGCATATGTAGGGCAAACGAGAAATTTCTTGTGATCGTGGGCCGATTCCATGATATCCGGTACCAATTGTTTGAAAAAACTCGGAAATTGAACGTGATGTGGATCAAATGGGGGGCACTATGAAATATGAATTCTCCGCTCTTTTTTTTTATTCTCGACCCACGCCTAACTTCTTTTTCTCCCATTTTCTCTTTTAAAAATAGAGAATTATTTTGATGGAAAAAGAATTGGTTTATTTCTCAATTCCTTGTTTTTTATTTAATAACCAAACAAGGGAAAAGTAATTAATTCTTTTTCTCTGTTTTTATTTTCCTATACCAAACACCCCCTTGATGTTTACTTAGGTTGAATAGTTTGGTTCCATTTACAATTGAAGAGTTTTGAACTTGGTAATTGTGTTTGTATTATTGGTGTTTACTTAGGTTGAATAGCTTGATTCCTGTTACGATTGAAGAGTGTTGAACTTGGTCATTGTGTCTTGATTTGTTATAATAAAGTTGGACGACTAAAGTGTAGTTGTGAGTTTAGAAAGAGCCTTAGTTGTAAAGAAGTTTGAGGATACGGAGTGAAGTTACCAGAAACCTTGAGGGCTCATCATGTACGTGCTCAAGTATAGTCAGGAGATGTATCGGTCAGAATCCATTTCAATTAAAAGTACAATGCTCCCATGATTGCATGATGAAGCCCTACGTCGTACACATTTTTTTTTTTAAATCGTGAAACCATGTAATTAAATAGTAACCGGGTCACATTTAGCTTTTTTTGAAAAGATTTTACCACTTAAGTGTTTTGCATCATTTATATGAAAAAAATATATATGTTATAACTTGTTGACATTAATATTTGATTTGGCAATGACAGGGCAAATGAGTAACCAATGACCACTTATATCTTAAATAGTTTATGTAAACGCTTGTTAGGATTAATAATTTGGAACCCGATTCTAAGTGGTTCTTGAATGAGAATAATTTGGAATCTATCTAAGAACACATAGAAGTAAACGTTTCAAGCCGTGTATTCCTTTTCTGTGCTAATACGTATAAAGCAAGTTCTCTAAGGCAAACACTTTATGCTGATTTCAAGGTTAAAGGCATCCCCATTTTATTCCACAACTTTTGTTCCAACAGCATCAGTCTCAAATCCAGTACATACCAAACACAGTTATATCGTATCATTTCTTAGCCGCTTCTCAAATTCTCTTCCTCTTCTCCCTCATCTTATCATCACAATCACAACTTCTCCGGTTCTCTCCATGACTACTTGTACCATCACCTTCCGAATTTTTCAATTCATCCAGAGAACCTTCAGGCTCCCAACGGTCACCCATCTCAATTTTCTCTGAGAGACACCCACCACCACCATCACGTGTCCTACTCCTCTCATTCCGCCGTCGCTCCACCTCGCCGGATTCTCCGTCAATCTCACCGGAGCCACCATCACGACCACGCCTTCTCGACCTCCGACGATCGGTTTTCCGTTCTTTACGTCTTTTTAACTCGGCATCATCCGATTCTTCATCGTTAGATGATTCCGAGACATTTTTCGCACGTCGTGACCTACTTTTCATGTTTAAATGTCGTTTTTTGGTGTAAAAGTCTTCTTCTTCATCGGAACTACTACTACTTCTACTACCATGAGTTCTTCTCTTGCTTTTACGATAATTACTCTCTTTGCTCCTACTATGCCTTGAGTGAGTTTGTGAACCTTCATCATGTCTCCTCAACCGATCTCCATCAGAATCGGAATCCTCGTGCTCATAATTTTTATCACGTTCACGTTTTCTGCTCTTTCGAACATGATTTTCATCATGGTGTTTTCTATTTGAATTTCCATTGTGTTGATTTTTTTCCATAGACCGATGCCTTTTTTCGCGATAACTGCAAACAAAAAACAAACATCAAAACCGAAACTAAGTCTGTTAGAATCCACAAACGAGATATGGTTGTGGGCCCCGGTTTTCTCAAATATTTTTTAAACACTATTTATCGAGGAAGTAGTTAACAAGGAAAAAGGCAAACCTGTCTCTATCTGATGTAAATATGCGATGTCGGTCCCTGGGAGTTGGTTGATGCCAGGTGTCATCTTCTGGATAACCAAATAAAGCAACCATCTTTGTGACCCAAAATCTTGGAGGTGGTTTATCACAATCAGCCCATTCATAGTCTCCACCAGGGTTTGTGAAACAATGTAAAAAATTACAAGCAGACCCTCGAGAACATGTCTGGTAAGTAATAATATGAAGAAAAAATGTTAACAAAAAGTAGTGATTGGTATGCTGAACAAAAGACATCAACATATTGATTAATAGAGATACCTTAAGCCTTGATTTCATGTACTCCCCACATATGGCAACCTTCCATCTTGTTAGGCTAACAAACTCACATTTAACCTATCAAAAAATCATCAATTCCAAATCAAGTAAGCAGTTGTTAAAGCAAATAAGAACTAAAACTCTAGGGCTCCACATTAGTTACATGATACACAACTGGACAAGTTTTTGTAGGTCTATTTCCAAAACTAAATGTATGAAAAAACTAAAAAGAAAAGAAAAAAAAAAAACCTGTTTGCTTGCAAAATAACGACCATGTACAGAATTGTAAGCCATCACAGCTGAATCCAACGACTTATATTGGATGTATACATTTCCTCTCAAATGAAAAGAACCATTTCTGCACACCTGATCACAAATAATATTTCTCACTACAGCAGACCATTTTCAACAAAAAGAAAAAGAAAAAAGAAAATCTGAAAACTATTAATATGTCATGTGGTGTTTTCAACCAGACCTTAAAGTTTATTATTTCCCCAAACTTCAAAAACTCTGTATGCACATCCTCATAAAACTCTTCATAACTGCGCTCTACCTCTTCCTCTGTATACTGTAGAGGTCAGAAAATCAATAAACTCAATTATTCAAAATGATTAAATGTAAATAAAAAAAAATGCATACAAATTCACGTATAGATAAATATGCATACATACATATATGTGCATGTGTACAAGATATATATGATTCATATGTGTGTGCAGGCATATGCATATTTAAAAAAATGAATATGCATGTGTGAATATGTATATACAGGTGTGTATAATTTCTATGCACAGAGGTATATCTATCTAATATATTGGTATATGCCTAAAATGTATCCATGTGTGTATACAGATAAAGACATATACATGCACGTATTCTATATGTATGTTTGTATACATATGTAAAAGACTTATATGCTATCTAAATTTGTGTATCTATATGCATATGTGTGAACTTTAATGGCACACATGTTTTAGCCTAATCATACTGGATTCTAACAATCATAAGTTATTTCTTTCTAAAATGCCCTCATTCTCATCAGTTAACTCGATTTTACAATAAAATTCCATATAACTGAGAAAATACAGTTGAAAACCTTAGGCACAGGAACTAAGTAGAGTCAAGCATGACAGATAGGAAATTGACTTCATCAAACAAACTAACTGTTTTAAAACTAAGAAACCATAATTGTCCTTTTGGCTACAAATCTTTCTAATTGATTTTCTTAGGAAACTTGTAAGTTGTTACCTGAAAGCTATTGAAAGGATACATATACTAAAAAAAGATGGCAATGTTGAAGTCATTTGTTAGCTCAAGCTTGTAGAGTACAAAATCTTCAATTGCATGACAAGTATGACACCTAAAGGAGTTAAGGAGCTAGAATCCAAAGGTGCAAACAACTACACAAAATGATTTTTTCTCAAACCCCTAGAGACACTAGTTGTCAGAATATCTAAATAGTTATTATATAAGCAATTACTTGTATAATAACGTTATTACAATTAAGATATTACCATGGAAAACGTATTAAAGACAAGAAAGTTTGAGAGATTGTAGGATACAAATTGCTAATAACGTTTATCTCCAATCCTCAAAAAGCCAAATTCATGAACTTCCGGTGTGGATCTTGGGAAAGATTCTGATTACATAGAGTCAAGAACAACAAGAAGAGCGGATAAAATTAAACCATAGCTTTTTTTTTTTTTTTCTAGAGGATTTCTACACCACATAATCACCCACAAGTTAGTTTTATTGGTCAATGGTTAAATGAAATCCAAATTAATAAAGCATTATCAAAATACTCATCAGGATACACGAAACACAGGCTGAACCCAACAACAGACCTCAAGTCCCTCATCTTGTTCCCAAGCAAGCCCAGGTCCATTGTACATGTTCTTGATAAGCAATGTGGTTGATTTATCAGGGTAATAATGAACCCTATTGCAACGCATGCCAAATCTACATGCTCCAGTTTTAATATGAAATGGACAATGAGCTTTATCCTGCAATATTAACAAATAAAAACGAGTTGAGTACACTATAAAAAGGTAACAAAAAGAGGTAACCAAAGACTGACCTGTTCTGTTCCAAAGTTTGGGACTTGCTGTGCAACAGTGTCCAGCAACTCTGTTGAAGCAATGGGTGCATTCTTAAAAGCAGCATAAGCTTCAGATTGTGGAGGAAGTGGATTTGATGTAGGTCTATCGGGATCCTGCAAAATGGAATGAGATATGACTTAAAAGAAGTTGTGATTGTGTGCTGTGAGAAACACAGAAAAACCTATTAGCTTGTGTACCTCTTTTTGGGTAGATTCATTGGCCTCTTTCTTTTTCACTTTGACTTTGTTCTTCTTCACTATTATTTCGTTTCCTTGCCATATGATTTCAGGAGGCCCTTCCTCTATGTATTCCCATTCATCATCATCTTCATTCGAGACCTCCTCTGTTCCTTCCTGCAAAATAATGTAGGGCTTTTAACAGTTGCTCAATTCAATTGGCAAGTAAATACCAGAATTCAATTCGAAACCTTCAAATCAATTCGTTAGTTTCTAACCTAAATTGGGTAGAATCAATAGATTCAAAAAAGAAGAGAGTTTAGGTAGTGTAAGAGACGAACCTGTTTTAGCTTTGATTCTCTTTCAACAGCATTCCTTCGCTCTTCTTCTTCTTCCTCTTCCTTCTTCTTTTGTAACTCTTCGAGAAAAATCCGCTCTCTCTCCTCAAACTCCTTTCTTTCCTTCTCTAATCTCTCTTTCTCCCTCTCTTCTTCCAGTTCAATCTTTCGTTTCACTTCGGGATCATTGAGCCGAGCTTCCTCCTCGGTGCGAGCTTTCTCCGCTAGCTCCTTCCTTATTTGCTTCCTCTTGTCTTTCTTCAACGCCTTCCGCTTCTCCTTACGGCTAACAGCTTTCGGGGATGGATTCCTCTCCTCCATATTATCCGGCGTTCCTACTTCTTGATCGTCTGTTTGGCCGGTGCTGACCGGTTCCGTCATCTTCCGAGTGTTTTTGGTTATCAATAGGGTTAACTTTTTTATTTTACCCTCGCCGGAGAGAATGGGATAATATGACGTTTATTATTCAGATTTAAAGTTTTTTTTTTTTTTTTCGATCGGATTTTTATTAATATTATTTTATAAAATGTATCTTTATAAACATTATATATATATATATATATATATATATATATATATATATATATATATATATATATATATATATATATATATATATATATTAGGAAAGATTTTAACAGTGACATATTTTTTGTCAATTTTGGTCCTCGCACTTATAACATTGATCATTCACCTTTATGGTTTTTTCAAATATTATATATATATATATATATATATATATATATATATATATATATATATATATATATAAAAGTTATGAAAGATTTTAACACTAAAGTGGCACCTTTTTGTCAATGTCCTCCAATTCATAACAATGATTCTTCACCTTTATGTTTTTGTTCACAAACAATTTTTTTATTTTGGATTGAATTTTTCATAACCCTCCCATTTTATTACATATTATTAGTATTTAATCTTTTGCTTGAAATAGTCCCTTATCATTATTATTATTATTGTTAGACAAAATTATACGATTGATCTCTGTGGTTTACCATATTTAACATTCTCTTTTTGATTTTAATTTAATGTTTTATTTATTAGAAAATACTCACCAATACCATAAACCCACCCACCATCTGTCATCAACACCACCACCATCGCCATAATTACATAAATGGTCCATATAGTTTACCCATGGTGACAAATTCAGTCCCTACCACCTGAAAAGACCAAATTACCCTCACACTAACGGATAAAAAACAACCATCTATATTTTTCATATTGGTTTTCCGACCGCTGTCATACATGACAATAAAGTTCAGTTTGTAAGACCATTTCTCTATTTTCCTCATTTATTGCAATAAATAATTATTTAGATTTTTTTACTTATGTAATTAAATGACATTGTTTATCTTCCTTTACAAAATGTTACTTTACTTTACAAAGCAATACATTCTTTCATGTATTATATTAGTTAATTTAAAAATAAAAAATTAAATATAAATATCAAAATATTTGAGAATTTTGATTTATAAGAACATAAAAAAATAATAAATTATTATAATGAAAATGTTTTTTCTCTTTTAAGTTTAAATAAAAAAACTAATGATATTTAATTTTAGAAATTTTAAAATTAAAATGTAAATATATTAATGAAATTAGTATCAATTTATTATTATATTTATTGCAATAATTATATTAAAATATTATATGAAATTTATAAAATAGAAAAAACTTATAAAATGATATGTGGAAAAAAAATTAATTCAAAATAACCATAAAATGATATTTGCAAATTGAATGAAAGTATGAAAAGTAGCAAAAAAACATTCATTTATTAGAAATGATTTGGGTAAATTACACGGTCTTTATGATTTGAATTTGTGGTATTTTATGTATTTAGTCTCCAACTTCTTTTTTTTTTTTAACTCGGACAATCTTGTATATTTGTTATGATTTTGGTCCTTCTTTGACTTAAAACGTACAAAATACATTTAATGATTTCTTTTCGATAAATTACAAAAATAATCATTTTTCCTAATATCTTTATAGAAATAGCCAAAAAAAAACTAAATATTACAAAAATAGCAACTAAAATCGCAGATAGGTTAGGGTCATCTATAATTTGTCTTATCATTTGTGAAAGTGCAATTTGTTAAAGCGGTGTCGTGTATAAATGAGTTGTACATTCGCAGATGTATATGTCCATATGTGATTTTATCTTTTTTAGAGTACAAATACCTTATTTTTTTAGAACACTAATTTTTCTTGATTTATGTTGTGGAAAATTCTATTAGAGGGACTATGTGATAGAAATGTGATAATAATAATATGATTTGTGTTAAAAAATGATTTCTAATGCATCTTGAACTTGTAAATTTGTATTTGTGAGGTTGTACATTCGGTTTTCATACATTATATTTGTAGCCAACTGATTTTTGATGCAAGTATTATATAAATATGTTAGACAATTGTGATATAAATATGATTTGTGTTATAAAACTAATTTCTATTCAGGTTGTACCTTTATATTGTACTTAAACAATTATGAGTTTCTTTATTGTACTCGTAAGTCGAAAACACTATTGTCGGGCCACTTGATTGTGTTTGTAAGATAGTAGTTGTCTTTGTGATATTTGCTGACATGTTTGTAGGTGCATGTTATCTTTGTGACACTTGATTTTATAACTATATGCTTAGCTGTATGGGGGTGACATAAACCCGCATCGATTGAAAGATACTGAAGGAGTTGAAAGGGACTCATGGATGAAATAGACCCCGTTACAATTTTAGGTCGATATGTATGTATGGTATGCGATATTTTGGGAAACTCACTGAGTTTTGTGCTTACGGTTTCACGTTTATGGTTTCAGGTACTTTTAGTACGATATGGAAGGGTCCGGTGTGATTGCATAGCATCCCTCAACATTTTGCACATCGATTATTTACAGTTTTTACTATGATGTTTAAATGATATAATCACTTTGGTTTGTTTTGAAACAACTAATTTGTATGGTTAAGTACTTTTCAAATGAAATTTTTTCTTTCAATTTTTTGGATGTTACAGTTTCTAATAGGTGGTTTTTGATTGTTTGTATTGTTGGAAGACATCTTGAAAGTTTTTGAAAAAAATATAATGAGATATAAAGAAATTTGAAACTGGTTTGGTAAAAAAGAAAGATAGGCTATATATAGAAAAAAAAAATATTTAAAAAAAATAAAAATAAAAATTTGAATTAAATTTTAACTGTTCAAACGGTTAAATCCTTAATCACCGATCAGAAAACACAATAATTTACCATCGAGGTGCAGCTAAACTGCACCCAAGTCCGCACAAGAACAATGTTTCCTACCACGGTGGCAAAGGATGCAGCCAAATCAAGCCTTACCACTCCCAAGTCCTAAGTCCCACCTTTTGAATCCATAGAAATTTTCTCTACTATGCAATATCCACATCAAAATTTATTTATTTTAAATAAAAACAAAATCCCTATTATAAAAAATAAATAGTTTTAATCTTTATTTCTCAAGTGTCTCTTTAATACAATTTTTTATTAAAATTATGTAATGTGTCATATAGATATATTAGACAATTCATTTCAAAATTTAATTATATGTTAAATTTGAATTTATAATAACTTTAAAATTTTGATATATCTTCTAATTAATAATTTATTTAAAATAATTGATTAATAATTATAAATTTTTATTATAAAATTTTAATTAATTTTATAGTCACGATTTGTACAGATTATAAACTACTAAAGATGATAGAAAAGTAATGCTATATTCTTTAAAGAGTTTTGTAGTATAATATAAAATAAAATAAAAATTAATTTTAAACATAATCGATTTTACTATTCGCATGAAAAATCAATATTTTATTGTACACCAGATAACGAACACCTCTAGTTGTAAGAAAACCAGTCGGTGTGGAAAATCGGGGATGACGGCGGCGTTGAACGCTGTAATGAACGGCGGATTAACAGGTGGTGGTGCAGTCGCGGCCCAAAAGACAGTGCTGATAACAGGCGTCAGCAGAGGTCTAGGCAAAGCCCTAGCCGTAGAAATCGCGAAGAGAGGCCATTCCGTCATTGGCTGCTCTCGTTCTCAAGAGAAACTCGATTCTCTCCAATCGGAGCTCTGTTCTGGACCTTCTTCTTCTTCCTCCTCCTCTGAAAAACACCTATTCTTGAACGCTGATGTGGTTCGTCTTCTCTGTTACATACAACTCATACGAATTTGCATTTTCACTGTGCTCATGGACACTGATTAGTGTCTAAGGTCCAGAAGTTCCTCTTTTTACGCTCCAAATTAAACCTAGGAATTCTTCATGAGGAATTAGGACAGATGCTGAGAAATCAATGTTCATTTCCAGAGTTCAGTAAGGATGCATGTAACGCTGAGGGGAAAATCTAGGGTTTACACTGGATTTTCACTTTGGGATAAATAAATCTCACAAATTGGACTCAAATTTAGAGAAGCAACTGGAAAAAAACGATATCAACTATGCTTAAATTTCTGTAAGTTCAAATCACTTGGTCGGATGTTGATGATTATCTTTCTCTGTTTCTTTTCAGTGCTCAAATAGCGGAGTTCAAGAGCTTGCACGAGTTGTGATGGAGAAGAAAGGTGTACCTGATATAATTGGTAATGAAAAATTGAAATCTTCAACCGCCATTGTTCCAATTGAATTCTGATTACCATCTTTAGCTAACAGAAGCGTATTTGCAGTAAATAATGCAGGCACCATTAACAAAAACAACAGACTATGGGAGGTTCCAGAAGAGGAATTCAATGCTGTGATAGATACTAATCTGAAAGGAATAGCAAATATGTTACGCCACTTCATTCCTCTTATGATTGAGAAAAAACAAGGGATTCTTGTTAATATGTCGTCTGGTTGGGGAAGATCAGCTGCAGCACAGGTAAAATGTTGTATACATAAAGTCTGTTTCTTTTCCAGACTGAATAAACCATATGAATCAGACTAAATGACCATTTTATCCTTGAATTCCAAAAGCAAGATTCACAATATTCATCAATAAATTTTAACATGAGAGGAGTTTGTAGGAAAAGAGTTAGTGTCTCAATACATTAAGTCGTTTTTTTTTTTTTTTTTTTTTTTTTTTTAAATAATGATAAGGGCATTTACATCTTTTTGCAACAGGTGGCCCCTTATTGTGCTTCAAAATGGGCGGTTGAAGGGTTGACCAAGTCAGTGGCAAAAGAGCTGCCAGCTGGCATGGCAATTGTTGCACTTAATCCAGGGGTAATAAACACTGAGATGCTTCAATCTTGCTTTGGTAGTTCATCTGGCATGTATCAGGCACCTGATTCATGGTAAGTTTTTATTTATTTTTTGGAAAATTACAGTATGTTGCTATATCTTGCATTCGTGTGAAAAAAAAATGTTTTTTTTTTTTTTAATTATGTGATTGATTGTATTTGTGTTGTAATTTGTTGATGACAGGGCTCCAAAGGCAGCTGATATGATATTAAATCTTACAGTGGCTGACAATGGTGCTTCTCTTTCAGTATAAATATATGTCA